AAGTAGCGTAACAGGCTTTCAGTGGGTGGACCTACAGCGTTAACTTGGAGATGACATAATCAGACACAGAAAGTAATGGAAACAGTGTTGATTTCTGTAGTTACTGCGTGAGGTTGAAAGCCGTATGTTCCCATGGACCAGGACTGCGTGGGAGATGCTTCGGGTCCATGTGTGACCTCAGAGTTCAGGGCCGCACAATCTGTTCACTTTCAAGCAATATCTTAAAATACATATCACTGCGCAGTATTTCAGATCGCAATGAATGAGGTTCGTTTTTACCATTTATTGCCAAACACACAGCCGCTCTTTAGAGACTAGTAACACAGTGTAACGCTGCAGATTAAAACTACTGTTATAAATATACAAGCAACATCTTTGCAATATTCACTTATTCATGCCCAAACTTTGATGCATTTTCAGAACTTACTTACTTAAATATAACCTACGTTTTTATTATCGACAGTAAGAATGACCTCAGCATACAAGCTATTCAGAATATTGACCTTCTACTGTTGTTCCATGTGTGCGATCATACAACACTAAGAAAGATACTGCTCGAGGTCTTTTGTATCAAACATGCCACCCTGAACACATTGATACGGTATTACCGAAATATATTTAGATGCAGTGTGACGTTGATGATGATATTTCCGTTTGCTCAGGGTGACAAAGGGGCAGCAAGCGACAACCTGAAAGGGAGGTACATATGATGTCCCTTTGCTTGACTTTCTTTGCGTGTTAAATTTAAAACGCGTGCAGTCTTGAGTATTGTGCTTAAGTTGGTTCCAGAGTAACCTATTCAATAATGCAAGAAGGGGCTTTACAGACAAAATAGCGTAGCGGCTTAGCCTTAAATCGCTGCAGTAGGACTTGATATGTTACAGTAAGACAAACATTTATGAATCAAGCCTGTGGACTTGCCACATGATAATGATTCACGGGAGGAGAGAGAGGGAGGGAAGGGGTTTGTATGTCTCCCTGCACAGATTTGCATTTGGCTGAGAGGGGAGGAGGGAGGTTCAGCATGGCCCTCCATTTCTCACCTCCATCGGAACACTTAATTACTTCAGCTGGTTAATCTTTCTCTTATTAAAAGTCTATTAAAAGGCATGTCTGGATGGAAGCAGGACGTGACTTACAGATGTACCCAGTGCTTCAGCTGCTACAACTTGGCCAAGACAATATTTTGTGCCAAGCAGATCGCAATCACACGTCAGTGCATTTGGAAACACCAAATTGACGTATGTTTTGGCCTTGATCAACGGCTTAATCTTTTTTTATTGTTCTGTTTGTATGGCGGCTCATCAACTATAATATTTAATCTCGTTTCCTACGAGTTTCTCTATCTGTTGCTGTTGAAAATCCTCCTCCGAGAAAAGAAAAAGGGAGCTCAGCTCATGCATTAAATTCCCTGCTGATCTCTGTCTCCATTTTACACTCTTTAAATAAAGGCTACTAACTGACACCCACCTGGAGTCACCGGCTCTGACCACTAGATGGCAGTCCGGTGACACCAACAGAACCGAGTACGACTCAGGAACCAACAACAGGCCCGGTGGTCAGAGGTTTCGCCTTGTTGACCGACTACCAGCCACATCAGCCCGTCCGAGCGGCCACATGCTCCACGCGTCTCAGAGTCCAGATCTGCAATCGGAGGCTCATGAAAATAAATGAAACTGGAGACGGATTGCCTTTGTGGAGCTTACAGTCGGTGCCATGAATCCTTAATGAGGGAACGTGGAGTCTAAAATGAAAAATTGCACCCGGGGTCGTAGTCAGGATATTAGAAATGCTGTGGATCACTTAAACAAAATTAAGATTCTAAATGTTTTTTTCCCTTCAGTTCCTTCACTCGACTGCAACAAGAGATGGAATGAGATGAGAGAGAGTTGCGCTAACAAGGCCGGAGGTCGCAGTTCATCGCGGCTGCCTAAACCTCTTCAGTTGTGTATCCTAACTATCAATTTGATTTCACAAAATAGGAGTCAATGGTTTTGCAACATGGAGCTCAAAAAGAAACAGGAAGCGCAAAGATGGCGACTCATTTCCTACTTATTTTAACTTGAGATGAACACCGGCTGCTGGCAGCAGCGTAGGATTCAATGCCCCCCGTAACAAACAGCTTGCGTGCCCTCACTCCTCCCTTTCAACTCTCCTTCTTGCCCCTGGCGTTTGGCCACAACGCTTTTTCCTCCTCGCTCCTCCCAAGGAAGGAGCCCGAAAAAGGGGGGGGGGGGTTGGGCTGCTTGCCTGTTCTTTTTGCCTCTTGGTGTCTTGATGGAAGACTCTTAGGCCCCCGAGGTTGTTGCATTAAACTGTTGCTTCCTTCCAGTGGTGCTGCATCACCATTGGAGACATCTATAAATAACTGGGGAGAGGGGGGGGGGGGCACAAGACCCGCCGCACACAGATTGGCAGCTACCGGCTGCCTCTGCACCCAACACACAGCGAAGAGGTTTAGAGAGCGCCGTGATAATCACGCTTACCTGACTCAGCCTTTGGTTTGCATGACAATGCTCTCGCAAAAAAAAAAGGATTTGATGCATTCAGAAACTCGGCAGCGCAGCGGGGGGCCACCGGCTGTGACAAGAAAACAAGTTAACGGGAATATTCAGACGTGTCACTCAGCGAGACGTCAAACTCTTGGTTTTTTCTCTCCCGGAATGAGAAGGTGTCGTCAAATCACAGACGGAAGAAGCAGGCGTGGCTGTGTTGACAGTAAGCCGCTTTGAAATAGCAGAATGGGGTTGAGCTGTGGGAAAGTAGGTTGGGGTTTTTGTTCAGTACTTTCTTGTGCTTTGACAGGAGATGTGCGTCTTCAAGGTTCTTCTTGAGCGAAGCTGAGAAACGGCAAAACCGGCCCGGGGAGGTCAAACCACCGAACCGAAGGCAGAACACGACCACGCCGAACCCAGGAACCCGGTGGAGTCCTTTCTGTGTGTAGCGCGCCAGCATCCGGCCCACCCGACTGCAGCACAAGGGTGTGTAGGGAAGAGCAGGCTGTGACCTCCAAAGGAAGGCGCTGGATGAGAGAGCAGCAGGCTCGGTAGGCGAGTAGGACGGCGTCACCGTGACTGCATCGCCGCTAACCTCCGGAAACATTCAAATGGTGCGATGTTACCCGCAGGAATGTAGGGAAGTGGTGGTATAAATTAGCATACAAATGAGTATCTAACAACAGAGTAGGACTTTTTTTCTACCTGAGCCGACAATTTAGTCGCTCTCCCTCTCTGTGTGTGGGGATCCGAGCATCTCCACCGTTCGCTTACAACGTGTTAAAAACGCAGGAGTCTCCACGTCATCGGGGTCATTTCCTCATCGATGGTCACTCAAGACATTTTACAGGCTGAGTAATCCCCAATTTGAGAGCATAAAATATGTGTTTTATGCACTGAGTTTCCTCTCAGCAGCCTTTTAGTCCCTCACCCACACACAGACGCACACACGCAGATACGCACACACACCATTCGAAACGTAGCTTTCAAGAACCCAAGTGATGATATGAAATAGGAAGTTTTGCCCACCTCTTTCCCTCTCCTCTTCCTCTTTGATCTCCCCACTTCACTCCTTCTGTTCCCCCTCTTCCCGTGAGCCTCAAACTATCCACCCGAATCCCCACCTCTGTGTTCACCCGGCAGCTCGGCCTCGCTCTCTCTCTCCCCCCGGCCCCTGTGAGTCTGCCACCGTCATGTTGTTGAAGTCGAGGACGGCATTAGCATGACGATCACAGCCTTCTATCTGAAGTCTTGTCTGCTGAGGCTGGAGGGGAGAGAAGCACTAAATACGCCCAACATAAGGGGCTGGGGAGATGGGGAGCCGAAAGGCACATAGAGACGTATATGTAGATAGCAGCCTATGCGGAATTCAACGTGACGCGAGACAAAGAAGACATGTGTCTGCGGTAAAGAAAAACATAAGCCTGTCGGGTTGATCGGCACACGTCACAGAAGCCGCTCTCCTCCTCCCTGCCGATGAAAACTGTCAAGCGATCGCCAAACCTGAAGTCACATGACCCAGATCACGTGCACAGTATGCAGGACTCTCTGCTTGTGATTCCAGATCGTATTATTCATGATTTGCCCTCAGAGGTAAATGAAACACATGCGACTCGTTGTTCCCTCATGGTGCACACATGCATTTTTTTGCAGGCACACTCAAATCCCCCCCGGCCCCCCCTTCCCTGCTCATGCTCTCTATTTAAGTATTACAACAGAAAATTTAAAAGACAATTAATTGTATCATAAACACACATCTGTGTCGTCATTTTAATGAAGCAGATGCCATCATGGGCCAATTTCTCCCTTCACTGACCTGCAATCTCACAGCCACATGGATCTTTTCATTTTTTTAAATCTTCTCTTCAGCACTTCCGTAAAACATACATCATCGGTTCAAAGACACTCGTGGTAATTAAAGCGTTTGACTCGTCATCGATAAAACCACCACTCATTTGCCGTTGCAGCACATGTTATGACATTTCTTCTGGAGGGGGGGTCGCCTACTGGACGCCCTGCAGCACCCGTATTCAGTCTGCGTCTCCAGCAGACAGAGAAGGAGAGTCGGGGTCTGACGAAATGATCGGAGGCGCGTGGCCTCGGAAAAAAACGAAAGAAAATCTTAGCTGCATCTGAAATGTGCTCAAGCCGTTCATGGCCCGTCAAACCTGGCCTTTATTTGAGATGCGCGGTGTGCGCACATGTGAACACCTGTGTATGTGTATAAGGTCAGGGCAGGCATGCGTGCACCCACGCCCAGACACACACACACACAGCGTCAGTCAAGCCTACTATCATTTGAAATCCTCTCCTGGGGCTCTGTCAGGCATCTCAATCTCCATTCCGCTGTAAGAAGAAATAAACTTGTAACAGCGAGAGCCGAGTAAAAACACAAACTAAAAACACAAAAGATCGCCATGTAAGTTAAATGCACTTTCCGCTCAAGCGCACACACGCACACACACATACAAACACAAACACAAGGCCAAAGATGCTCTCATCCGGTGCATGGTGAAAAAATACATTTATTGGAATCTGTGTCAATGTAGAAAAAAGTGAAAACTGGCTTTCGGTTTCAGTCACAGTACCACAGGTGAATATTCCAGCAGCCGTCTGGTGAGTCAGCGGGCTCGTTCGGGGCAGTACATCTGCTACTGATGACAACACAGGAGTTTGGCCTACGCTGGCCCATGATACCAAACACATGGTCTGAGGCTGCTACTGAGACACCAGCACCCACCAATACACGTACAGCGATTCACCCGGCACACTCTCAGCCCAACGTGGGTGCAGCGGGGGAGGCTAATTTCAAATGGTTTCTTGTAATACGGTTACAAATCCCTCTCCAGTGACTACAAAGCTAGCATCTAAGGACCCCGTATCCTGCGATCGACCGCAGGCTACTGTTTAATAACTAAAAGTTGGCTGCCTATCACCCCATTTTGTCCCGGACCCCGGAGAAAACTGTGCAAAGCTATGATTCATGCGTCATCTCTGATGGAGGGCCTCCATTCACTATTTAAAGCCTGCCGTCCAAATAAAGGTATCACATTATTATTTATCTGGTCTCCCGTCACTTTTTTTAATTCAAACATTTCTTTCTGGCAAAACGTTTCCATAATAAACATACTGCAAGTGACACATTCTATCCTGGCAGGGCAAACATTGTTATAGGTAGTGCATTTTCTATTTCTGATATGACAGGATAAACTCACAACACATGGCGAGTCTGCATACTTTATCAACTGAAATTGCAACAAAAAAAAGCATTAGAAAAACAAAAAAGGACATTTCTAAACTCAGATACTGAGCATTAACATCAAGAAGTCAGTTTTTTTTTTTCCCCATACAACTTTCTTTACATATAGACTTAATTCTTAAATATCTTAAATCTCATATAAAATAATTCATCAAAAACTGATTCTATATACACAGATAATGGATGAAGGGAATGCGTTCATGCTAAAGTGGTTCCTCCAGAGCAGGTTTGCTGGGAGATTAAATGGGCTCTTTTTCAGGTTGCTTTTCTGACGAGATGAATGAATGGTTTTGTCTGGAGAGTCTGATACTCAATATCATCATTCATACACAAACAATACAAAGCTTATATTGCCTTCTCTTTCAAGTGGTAATTCTTCAAAGATGTGACGTTCATGGTAAAAAAAAAGAAATCTATCCTTCAAAATTGGCCGCTTCAAACACACAAAGCTTCTTTAGGACAAACGAGAGCAGTTCATGTTTTATTGTTTGGAGAACGTTTGCTTTGCACCGTTTCAGAGACCAGTGAACTACTTGCCTGTTTCCGTATTGAGTTGGACTGAATTTGATTCATTTTGTGTTCATCAAACCTTAAATTGAATAATAATACATTTGCCTTCATCCCTAGAAAACTAGTTAGGGCCGTTAGGGGAGTGAAAAGATTGATTAGACCCAGAATTCTTGTTACAATGTAGGAACGCATTTCAAGCGCAGAGGCCACTGTGGAGGCGTCTGAGGAACCAACAATATGACCATAAGCAAACACGTCCACCACACGACTCTGTTTACAACTTCTGGACCATTTGAGTTTTCTGTTGGCCGAGCAAATGCAGAGAACTGAAACGATGTGAAATAACGGCGTCGGTTGGATTCAGGCACTGGATGCTAAGATGTGGAGCCGTCCTTTGTCCTCTAGTGGGAAACGTAACTGCAATATCTGTAAAGAACTCGGCTTAATCCAAGAGCGCGACAAAAAACTATATACGGCAAGATGCAGCATCAGAGGGTTATTTTTATTAATACCCAGACCTACGTTGGTCACAGGCAGCGTTCCCAAAGCGCCCTGTAGTCACATTCACTCTTTTTTCCTTTTTAGAGTGTTGATTTTACAAAGAACCGTATGCCGGAGCCTGATAGGATGCGCGAGCTGAGCTGAAAGAAATAAAAAAAATTTAAAAAACCTGCACACACTAGTGTCTGCTCTGAGTGACACAGCCTTAATAAAAACATACTGGATCCAAAGACATCGACTCTGACGACTCACGATGGCCAAAGCTGCTGCTGTTGAAGCTGCCGTTATTTACTTCTCTCCGGGAAAAAAGGAACACAACAGTAAAGACATCATACAGACAGCACGATCGATACCAACCTGAACGAGGAGACGCTTAGTTTCACTTTTTTCTGATGCCGTTTACTTATCTGGCATCCACACATCTCAGGGAAGCCACAGTGTCTCTACAAATATTGTTTAGACAATCTCTAATAGAGAGTTGCTCGACTGGATGGCAGAAATACCCACACAGCCTACAATTGCTGGTTGAGTTGCTTAATGCATGGACGTCAAGAGTTCTTTAAAGTACTGGAGGTTTGATGTCACTGTGGGCTATTTGATGGGTTTGATTCAAAGAGTAAAAAATATCTCGCATCGTGTTTCCTTTGAGCACTAACACACATATTCATACTTACAACCATTCATTTTAGTGTGTTTATATATATATATATAGAGAGAGAGAGAGATAGGTAGAGAGATCTGTAGTAATATGGAACACTGGAAATACCCTCAATTACATCTGGTTTGGTGTGACATACGTTTCATAAACTCTTCTTGGTGGAGATCCGGTTCTCCGGGTGGACGCTCCTGATTTACTTGAGATTGTATTTCTGTTTCTGTACAGTAAAACAGCACACATACAAACATGAGGACACTAAGATGAAAACATCCCACGCTGATTATGTTGAAAATGTTGTTCAACTGTTTCTTTTTTAATTCTAGAAAGGGAGGCGAGGGTTTATTTTTTTTTCGAGGGGGGGGGTTAAAACAGGGGTCCGCCCACCTCCCCTGTTTTCAACACTACACAGTAGTTTCATTCTTCCAGGGTCCAGTGCGTATATTCCCCGTGCTGTCCGAGGTGTACAGGAGTCCTTCATGCAGCCCCCCCTTAAGAATCCCGTTCTGATTGGGCGGGTTCTGGGGGTACGATTGTCTACGCGGGGCGTGCAGCCCCAGGTGGTGATGCGGCGCCAGCGGCTCCTGCTCGGCCACCTTGCCGCATCCGCACAGGAAGACGCCCGTGTCTCCGGCCTCGGCCGGGCACAGGGAAGGGAAAAGGTCTGGTTTGGCGCAGCAGATGTGCCGGTGGCACGGGTTGTGGCACGCCGGCGCCTCGTGCGCGCTGGAGGCAGCGGCGGCGCCGCACGTGTGATGCCCGTCGTGGTGCCCTTCGTGGACCAGATGCGGGCAGATGTGCGCGTGGCGCTCATGCGTGCTGTGGGGGCTGTCAGTGTGTGAGCTGTGCGCGCTGCCTCCGTCCACGCTGGAGGGGATGTGATAGGCGTACTCCCGCTCGCCCCCCGCCCCGCAGGCGCCGCCCCGCCGGCCGAAGTGGCGGCCTTTAGTCCTGGTGCTGCTCTTTAGGCAGGGGTGCAGCTGTATCCCCGGCCGGTAGCCCTCCGGGTCGGCGTGGAGCAGCACGTGCGTGGCCGCCGGCTCCTCCTCCATCAGCTGCTGGCTGTGCAGCGCGGCGCAGCACGGCGGCGCCGGCGCCAGACACGCCGCGTGGTTCTGCGAGGACGGAAGGGCGCCGTGCTTGCAGTGACTCGACCCGCCGTGGCTGCAGCTCACCGGTGCTTTGCCCTGACACGGGGAGCCGTGGTGGCAGTGGGCGTGGCCCGCGGTGTCCCCGTTCGCGTTGACCTTAGGCCGTGCTCGGGCGGGGCCGTGAGCGCCGGAGCAGCCGTCGGCGTGTCGCCCGGGACAACAGGAGCACCAGTAGTGCCAGACGTCGTCGCGCTTGGCGCAGTGGTGGATGAGGATGAAGAGGCCGAGGGTGACGGAGAAGGCACCGTAAAGGCAGCTGAAGATCATGTCCAGGAAGTGGCCCTGGGACACGGCCAGCGCCCCGAAGGTCCAGGTGGCCAGGAACAGGAACAGGGTGAAGGCCGCCGTCCGCAGCTGGGCCTTGAAGGAGTGCTCGTTGGCAAGAAGCGCGGGGTTGATGGGGACGCCCGGACAGCCGGCAGGGCAGTGGCCCCCGCCCGGCGGGGCCGCCGGGGCACCGGGCTCGGCTCCTTGGTGGCAGTGCGCGGGCGCGTCGACGGCGGCCAGCCTCTGCTGCTCCTCCGACGGCCGCTTGAGCTCGTACTTCTTTTCGGGGTGACGGCGCAGCTGGATGAAGGTGCAGACGAAGTAGACGCATGTCACCAGGGTGATGAGGGCCCCGGGGCCGAAGAAGGCGCCGAGGCTGGGCTCCCACGCCATCCAGCAGCTGCAGCACACACAAACATACGAGTCATTAACTCTGATTTGTGAGTAACAGAGAGATGGTGTGTAATTTAACCTCGAGAGCACAAAGCTGATGGAGGACTTACTACGGCGCTTGCTCCCCGCTGCCATAGTTGTCTATATTGACGGCCGCCGTGACCCCGCAGATGATGAGGGGAACGCCACCGCTGACCAAATAAAATCTGTGAGGCGATAGAGAGACAAACAGAGGCAGAGGCACTAAGAAGCTGGACTTTTCCAAACCCTACATCCCACATCTGGATTATGACAACATAGAAAAACGCGTCTGGGGAATTCTTTCGGCACAGAAGACGGATAATAAAAGATCCAAACAGACAAAAACGATTTCAGATTTGTGAAGCTCACAACGCACAAACAGTGACACAAAGGAACAGGCACAAGAAACGTCTTCGTCTTTGCCGGCTGTCCGTCCCCCACTTTCCCCTAATATGACTTTGGAGCTTGTCAGTGTGATCACAACCGCTGTTTGTTTTCTTTTGCTGCAAACCAGAGTGTGAAACAAATCTGTTTCCTATCGACATAGGCATGATTGACTCGTCGAGCTGCAATTTATGGCATCTGCTGTTTGTAACAGCTCAGCAGACGGGAAGAGAAACCCGGACCGCAGCAGAAGGAGACGCTGAATTTGAATCAGTTGGTACGATTAACTAACGCTGGTGGACACTTTCATATTAAAAGGATAAACCTTCAAGTTAGATTTTGCAGTTATCTTCAGTGACAAGCATTTTCCTGCGAGTAGGTGTTTGAATAGAACACATACACGCCACACAACACAAGACCTGCAATAGTGTTGACAACAATTGTAGTGGAAACTTGTGGTTACAAGTCAGATTGTATGGAAGTCTCGGAGTAAATTACTTCGAAATCAACTCAGCAAACATTGTAAACGTGTGTTTACGACCTCAATAGTTTCAAGCCTTAATCAATAGAGCATGATGTTGCTTTAGTAAATGATGGTGCCATTAAGTTTTATGTTTGTTGTGTAGGATTACATTCAGACGCCTTTATTGTCGGCAGTGTAAAAAAGAAACAGGATAGAAAAACTGAGACTGAGAGTCTGAATCCCACTGAGCGGCAGTTATTCAATCAGTTACCAAATCTCTGGGATCCAATGTGGATTGTTTCATTTTGGAAATTGGAAGCTATCTGTTGTGTAGAGCGATGAAGTGGCCCAACGCAGTGAAATGCCTTTACACGCTTTTAACTACTGGGATCACTGCTGCTCCGCGCGGTTGCAATTGCTTGAACAAAGCATATTATTCTGAAACTCAACCATAGTGTCTCTGACAACGCAAGAAGAAGAAAATATATACGTTTGCTATTTTCCTGCCGTGCTCTTACAATTGATTCTATTGTGCGACCCATGATCGGTAAAACCTACACAGTGAAGAAGCAGAAGGTATTCCGATGGTTTGAGCAGCCCTTCGTATGCCTCCCGGCTGCATATACTATTCATTTTCCAGGTCTACGGGCGAGTGTGTGAACAATGCGCTCGCGTCAACGCTGTCACGAGCTTTACGAATTTGCCGCAGGAACAAAGCTGATCCCCAGCAGCCATTCCTCAGCACGGCCTTTGTCCCTCCTCTCTGCGCTGTCGTCCCCTTTCCTATACAACAGTATGCTATTTCCTCCTCCTTCCAGTTCAATCTCAACCTCTGCCACCTTTCCCCTACTCCGTCTTCCTCCGTCTCCACCCCTCCGGTTTGTGTCCCTTCACTCGCTCTGTCTCTCTCTCTCTCTCCCAATCTGTCTTCCGCCACAGAGCACCCTTCCCAAAAAAATTCAATTACAATCAAGATGTTTGTCTGAGCTGGTTTGGCGAGGGCTGTTTGGGTAGATGGATGAAGAATGGGAGGTGTGGGGGCATTACAGGCCTGTCACCCTCCCTGAGTGCAACGGTTCCCCCGGGGGACTCTCCTCTCCAACGGAAAGCCATTTACACAGCCGTCAGCCAGAAAAGCATAAATGAAAAGAAGTAGGATGTTAAAGCGAACTGTGTTTTAAAAGCCTCATTCTCCTTTATCCTGCTGCTCCCGTTTCCTGCAGGCGTTTCATCCACAGGGAAACATGAAGCATACATGCAAAAAATACATACATGCGTGTGCGATCATTGTTGAAATGCTGCTCTGCTTTCATGCATATAGGTGCTCCTTTCCTATATTTCCAATGCACACCGACACACGTACAAACACTTTGATGCACTTTGATTTTTTAAAAGAAAAAGGACCTAAAAAAAATGTCTGTGTGTGCAGAGCTGTGCTTTCGAGTGAGGTTTGGAGCAGCAATCGTTTGATATAAATAGACCCTGAAGTGCCTTTTAGCCAGCAGCTACACAGGGACTCCGCAGCCGTCCACGCTCCTTTTACTCAAGCACTGTCCTCTTGGGACTCTGAAACGTCCTCTCTCTGGACCTGGTCCAGGAGAAGCAGCACAGTTTAGGACCAACATTAACGGGGAGTTAAATGAGAAGACATTTCCAGCAGTGGGTTAGTTTAGATTAGAAACAAACTGGTCACTGCACGTCTAAAGCTCACAAGTGAACGCATTATAATCAATGCACACAATAACTGTACGCATTTCAGATTTGGGATTAATGAGAAGTTGTGTGCCACAGTGTTTCTTTGTAAGGCAGTTATTGTTACCAACGGAGCTGTTTCCTCTTGTGTCCAGTAACTGAGCTAAGCTAAGCTAACTGGATATTAGCTATGTACATACATCTACATGCATAATTCCAATAGGAAAGATCACTCAATATTTGTGAACATCAGCTTCTCTCCCTCAGAGTCTGAAACCAGAGTAGTAAGTCTCAAACTTGTGAAGTCATCGGGTCCAAAGCCTGGAAATGAATGGGAGCATCAATTTCTGTTTTCTTTTTTTTTTTTATAACATATTCACGTGTAGACATTTTCAATCACAAATGTATATAACAAAATTGTGCTTCATCAAGTGCACATCTCTTCAAAATGGCTCAATTAGCTACTCCGCGAAATAGAAGGTGATGAGGAAATGGCAGTAAAAATGTTCCTTCATTTGGGCACAAAGTATAATGAGCTAAAATGATTTATGAGTAAGAAATATGGCAAAGTGGTTCACAATGGTTTTTCATTATTAAAAAGCGGGTCTCCAGAAACGCTGATCTGCGACATCTCCCCAAATTCGTTATGTGCAGAATGCACTTTGACCCTGTAAACTGGAGTTGGAGACTCTTTGATCTTGGACCTCAGTGTGCAAACATGAATGCATTTGGAAAATGGCACAGTTCCCCATTAAGGCACAGATATTCAATTCAATTAATTTTGCTTCAGGAGGCTTTACAAAGATATGAGAGTGGTGTCATCTCATCTGACTCGGGAAGCTACACTAATTGAGCGTATTTACTGAGAATGCAGTAAAAGCATCGCTTTAAAACAACACCCAGGCTTCGTCTTTCTGCTGGTGTTAAGTCACCGTGTTATTTTAGAGAGATATACCTCAGCAGACCATTTCATTTGCCAATACACACATCACATAGTTAATGCATGCCCACTCACTGATACCAGCTAAAAGTAGCTTCTCTAAAGCGTCCCCCCCACCAAGGGAGAAGCAGATCCGTGAAGCATAACCTCACTCGATGCCTTTTAAGAAGTGCCTTCGCCTGTTCTTAATATATATTAATATAATATTGACAGCTGGGGGAGAAATTCTGCAGGGGACATTAAACAGATGTCGGGGAGTGTTTGCTTTAGATCCGCCCCATCACGCCAGATGAGTGTCAGTTAACGGCGTGAACAGAGACGCGCGTGGCCCAACGCGCCGGAGCGGCCTTTTCTGACAAAGGTCATTGCGACGGTGTGCTGTCAGACGCTGTGAGGAGCCGAGGGGCAGCAAGAGGTAGATGATGAGGGAGAGGCCGGGTGCTGTGAGGGGGGGGGGGGGGGGGGGGGGGGGGGGGGGGAGGGGAGGAAATGCTCAGAGGAGAAATTGATTCGTCTCCAGCTGCTAAGTCTCATTGCATGAGGCTGTCAATCACAGTGGATCAACTTGACTGCCGCGCCTCACGACACCCCCCCCCCCCCACCTCCACCGCCCACCTCCACCGCCTGGCCCCAGACAAATTATCTCTTTCACAAGCGGTGCATGATGGGAGAGCCTCGAGAACGTTCCACGCTAAAAAAACGCTAATCAGGCAGGAGTCGAAGGAGCAAAGTGCTGCGTTGTGGTCGATCCTTATCCTAAGTGACTTTTAGCGAGTCTTAAACAAGATGTTCTTTAGCTTTATATACTTGGAATAATGTCAATCACAAGACGCTGCTCATTTAGAGATTTTGGTATGATATTAGTTCCAGGCGCTTAATGGGGATAAAGGTCCATGTTAGTGCTACATGTGTCCCCAAAAACTCCTCATAGAAAGCAAATAGTAAGTTTTCCACAAGGGTTCATATCCAGTGCAGCTTCCCATGTTTGAATCATTTTGCTCTCTGGGGTCATTTGCTGTATCGTCTGCAAAACTATTTCGCAAAAGTCCAAGGAAATTTGAGCGAGTGAAACGCCGCTTGATGCTTTCCGACAGCTTTACGGAAAACAATACCCCCCCCCCCAAAAAACCAAATACGATTAGAAGACAAACAGGCGTGCGCTGGGGTTCGCCCTCCGCTTGCCTCCGTATCTCCGCTCTCAAACCTCCCCTTAAAAGGATTTCTCTTCAAAGCGCCTTGGAGCTGAAGCTCTGCGCCGCGGCTGCAGTGTGCAGAAGAGCTCACGCAGCACCTTCCCACCGACGGGGGGAGAGCAGCGCCACGAGAGTCCACGAGCTGATCCTCTTAAACGCGGCGAAATGTCGCAAGCAAGCAGGAACGGAATGAAGTGGAGAACAGGTTAAGAATAAATAAATAATGATCAGCATAAAATGCAGAAATTCAACGGCGTGCGCGTCTCTAAAGGAACAGGAGTTCCAATGGGTCACAGGGCTAAATGCATTTATATTTGTGATAAGGCTCCTGGCTCAGAACCCCCCTGGGTGATTGAGGTAATTAGTTATAGCAGGGGGGGGGGGGGTGATGCCACACTAACAGCTTGTTTAAGTCGTTATTGGTCCTTCCTCCCTCCTCTTGATATTCAGCTGCCCTCCATTCTTTTTGCCTTACAGGGTAGTAGGAAGCCTCAAACAGAATAACTGAGCCAAAACATTTACTGAACACCCAGTTCAGCTATTCCAGATATTTTCCTTTCACAAATGCCTGCCAGAATGTGTATCTACACCTGTGGGAAAACTGCACAATCTGAGGCTACGAAATGCTTTAATAGAAACACACACACACACACACACACGCACACCATCTTTGTGGTGCCTAAAACATTTTGTCTGGAGCTTGTCATACGAAGCTGCTTGCGTGTCATTTAACGCTCAGTTCATTTTACTTTGCAAGCTCTGCAGATGTCATTGAAATCCCAACACGTGGCATGTGGACATGATAGCAGACTTTAACCGTGCGGATACAATAAAACAATAGACTTGATTGTGTTTAGGTAACGTGACGTCCCGGTTGGGTTTAGTAACAGACCAGGGTTTGGATTTAAACATAAAGCTTAACGTCAGTCAAAGAGTCAATGTAAATGAGTCAAACGATGACTTTTGGTTTAATGCAGGACTTAATGACTTAATACTGGTCTGCTGGGTAAATGTCCCCCACTTTTGGCCAATATTGCTCATTTATGTATCTATTACTTTAAGCTCACAGTGTTTCTGTTGGATTCCATCCAATCGTACGGCCTTGTGGAGTTCCAGCTGACTCTGATTTGTGAGAGCTGTTTCGTTTCGTTTCGTTTCGATACACATTTATGGCACAAAATCTGTCTCTTAATAGAATATAAGCATAAACACAAATATGTGGATTTGATTTTTAAATGATATCATAACGTGTATATTAATTACAGGTGCACCTGGTTGGGACTTTGGGAAGGAGCATAAAAACCTTAAGAAGATTAGAAAGCAGGTCAATAGTTCCCTCTGAACTAACTATTGCTCTAGAGAGGAACTTACTTACATACATATATTCTTATGCATATGAGGTTTACTGACTGCTGCTTGTTGGTCTTGTACAACTGTTGTTTAGCAGCAATTAACAGCTCATATCACCTGTAATAGTCAGTGTGAGTTAAATTAGTCTCAGAACTTTGACTGATTAAAAGAAATTCACTGGGCTCCTCTAATCTCTGGACATTTCACTAAAAATGCTTCATCGGAGTAACAAACTTTCTAAGCTTTAGTCTTTGTTGCTGACAGTGACTAAAATAAAAAAAAAAACAATTTCTTAACATGAACAAATGAGAAAAAGGAGAGCCTCAACAGTATAAATAGGAAGACCTGACAGCTACTTGACTACAGAGTGAACAAAGCCAAAGGGTTGAAAGAATGCACACTTGGATGTCTCTGCAGATAAACAGTGCAATAACTCTATCTATATAACTCTAACTCTAATATCTGTGCATGCCTATTGTTGCTGTTGAAAACACCTGAAACACCAAAAAATATACATTATGTAGCATAAATGAATGTACATACTGCTGCACACGTGGAGAAGAGAAGGACAATCACACACATGACAAAATATTCAGTTCAGTAAAGACACATTCATATCAAGATTTGCACTGCAAAAGATGTAAATCAATGGAATCAAAGATTCTTCAGCACGTGAGCTGAACCTCATTCAAATCCATAGAACCGCGTAATAAGTAGCTTTAAACTATCAAACACATAGATATCGTCCTTGCGTGTAACATTTTTCATGGTCTGGCACGTCCTCACCTCAATGAATTAATAAATATCCCAACTACAAAATACCTTTAGAACACAAGCAGCAAAATGTAAAAAATACATCAAATAAAGATGAAGCAAAGTGGTTGCCACTGCCTTTATTACCCATGTGGGGAAAAAAATCATTGTTTAATTTAAATAACATTAGGTAGTGTTTTTTTCTTAGATATTTAGATATTTTATAATATTTAGAGGAGGTCGGACCCTTTGGATGAGAACCACTGGACTGCACAACATAAAGCATCATCGATGCATCAACAATTTTATAATAATTGCCAAACAGTCCGTTTGAGCAAGAATTGTTGTATTGGCATTTTTATTCCCGTAAATGATCTGACTACTTCCCCCACAGCTGAAAATCATTAGCTCAAGCTGGGCAGGGTAAAGCCATCGATTGTGCAAGACTTCCACCCACATCTCACAGTCTCAGTCAGGTAACGTAATGACCGAAGCAAAAACAACAACAACAAACAACTGGGAAGCAAACACTTGCACAGCTTGCAAAGTCGCTAAAAAATACACACACAGCCCAAAGCCAATGCAGAGCCAGAAAGATCAAAAGGCCGCAGGCACACATTGGCGCTCACCTCAACAGGAGCTGTTTAGGGGGCGGCGGCGGCGGGTCACCATCCTGGCTCTGCGGCGGCTTCTTGGTCACCTGTTTATAAATGTTCCTGGCCGTCACCCCGAGCCACAGCATGGTGGACAGGGACGAGTAGTGCAGCACCACGCCGACCTGACGCAGGGTGAAAGAGGACGCAGCAGGTTATTCATTGGACGTCTCTGACCATAAACTGTACAGTATGTCTCTCTGCAAAATGTCACACTTGATTATATTCCTGTGACTCAAAGCAAAGATGTTCTCTGAAAACCCCCCCCCCCCCAAAAAAAACATCATCAATGTCACTGCAAGGGTGTCGCTATAGAGACCTGTCTGCTCGCCACTTTGGTTTAAAACGTGCTTCTGAATCATCAAGGTTGCTCGGCATAAGAGCATTACATGGTGAGGTTATACTGTTGGATACGGAGCCGCTCCTTATCGGCTGAGTTAGAGGACACGTGGCTGCGCACTGCGAATAACAAACCCGGAATATAAATGATAGTCACGTTGACGACTACCGGGGCGTGATTGTGTTGTGACACGCACGGCCTACGTACCTCCGCTCTTGATCACTTTAATATTCATGAAATGCGCTTGGATTGGGAAAGTGGTCTAACTTTGTTTAAAGGCTTTACTCGCTCACACAAAGAGCAGAGAGAGAGAGAGAGAGAGAAAATTAGAACGCGCTGAGCCTTTTCTCCCCCCAGTCAGTCTGTTCATGAGGTGACAACCTGAGGCACCCGATCAAATGGCTTCTGGCCAGCCCGGTCGGCCTGGGGACCGGAGCCAGTGTACCGGAGTCCAGATGCTAATTGGAAATGTCCTTGAAACTGGTTACGGAGGGCAAAGAGCGGACGGGAAGTGGATCACTGCTGGGGAGGCCGCCCCAGCTTCAGAGCCTCATTAGCGCCACGAACAGAGAGGGAGGATGTTAAATTTGTTACATATGGACATAAGGGGGAGAGGAGTTCTCAAATGATCCGAGGCGGTGGAGGTGGGCGTGGGGGGCAGTGGGTGGAAGCTGTGGTGGGAGGCGTGGGGGGGTCAAACATGGGCTCAATCGCCCGAGTCTCCATTTACAGATAAAGAAACATGGATTTATCCCATAATGCAGGACGTCAAACGGGATTATTAACGCATGCTGTTAATCCAGCTAACACAGACTACGCAGCTTCACACTAGGCGTCGAGCTCTTACAGTACTGGTATGTAATTAACCCATTTAATCCCATTATTCAGTCTATAGACGCACCCCGAGGGCTCACAGAAGTATGATAGGGACCCTTACACGAGTCCTATAAATAGGTGCCAGATGGTTTGTTCTGCGGAACCATCTGAGAAGCTTTCATCAGAAACTGTTTGGAAGGAAGGGCAGGCACTCTCAAAAAATACTTGGCATTCGATTGCCTGTGCCATCTGTCAATCAAACTCATGTTGAGGCCAGTCTGGAGTAACCTCTGAACCCATCAGCTGACGGTGTATAAGCGTCTGGGGGCGAGGGGCTGCGGTCCCTCTGTGGAAGGCAGATATCTGGGCAGCGACTTCCGTTGTTTACACGCCAATTAGCAACTTAAGAGATACGGGAGCTGAGCGGGAAGGACGCACATTGGGATGTCACCGCCGAAACCAACATATTGGTCCTTTGTTTGTCTTTGTGTACATTCTCTCCACACAAACCCCCGTGTGGCGAGTGAAGGAAGACTTGGATTTGAAGCATCTGAATTTCTTTGACACTACTACCTACAATCAATGTGTGTTTCTACAAACCATAGTGAATATTCAAAAGTTTGTTTATATAAGATCTATTATATATCAGCACATAGACATGTTGATAAGGAAGAGTCTGCTCGGCACAGTCCCGTTTGAAGTATTGTGCTATTCATAGTTGCCGTGTGCTCTCTCCTGAGTTCCCTTTGTCGCTAGAAAATCTGGGTGAATACATCATTCCAGCCAGCGATGGGATCAGTGAGCAGCACAATGACCGTGCAGAAACCAAAACGGGAGCTGGAAGCTGGAGGCCGAGAGAACCTCAGACTCAGACAACCTCTGGAATCACTCAGGACGGCTCACATGATGCCTTCAGTTGATCAAACTGCACACTCAAACAGAAGCATTACCGGGGCTTTCATAGTGAATAAGAAGGCATTCATGATGCTCATGACTTCACTCATTAACATACATAATGCTGCCTGATGCACTGATGTCAACAGCCGTAAAACATTACCGATGTGACATTATAACGAATTATGAGTTCAAGTATCTTAATGATGGTATTGATTGGTCTTTCATCTCATAATCATTTTGTTAATAATTTATATCACGTCCATAGTTAATTATAAACATGCATTTTAATCTGCAAATAAATATGCGTTATTATAGTTCCAAACACTCACCGAGTGACTAGTAGCAACGCTGTAGTGTTTTCAGAATCACATACGAGCTCTGATATATTTTTATAGAGCATCATGAAAATGTTCTTTATGAATATATTTATAGAGTACTTTAGGCAGATTATAATCTATCACAAGTATATTTATAGGGCAGTGTGTATATATATATATATATATATATATATATATATATATATATATATATAGCGAGAGAGAGACACACACATCTATATGTAGATGTATATGGCAACAGCATCCATGGCAACAGCATCCATAACAAGCCATGTGTTTGCATTATAATTATGTGGTTTGATTTAGACCCATTAAATTGTGAAAGTTAAAGTTAGGACACTCCAAAGTTGCCTAAAATTCCACACATCGACTAAATCACATTATCCAGTCAACTAATTAGCCGTAGTTTGCTTTGAAGTGCTTTCAGGTTCGTGCTGCTTCCTGCTCATTTGAGTAAAAGAGCAACAGATGTGACAAGATGAAGACAAGAGAAGAGGTGTCACATTTGATAAAAGTCACATATGATGTGGTTCAATGTTAAGGTGAAAGTAATGAGCGGTCAGTGCTTGAGTGCAACTTTATGTTATAAAGTGCTTTTATGGTTTTGTAAAGATCTACTGGATCACATTAGAAATCCAGCCAGCCAGAGAAGGAGACACGTAGCCAATAACGATGCCAGTGAAATTCCACAATTCACGATAAGTCAATGCCATGCTAAAAAGACATAAAACAATACATCCCAGGTACTTCTAACAAGTAAACCTTCATTGCTAGTTGCATGCCGGGTTTTGTATTTTTTATTTAGCTGAAGCTTTTATCCAAAGCGACTTACAATGAGTGCATCCAACCAAGAGGCTCCAGAACCAGAAATAAAAGAATCAAGAAAGTACAATTTCTTCGACTACAAAGTGCTATAAGTAAGTGCCATCGTGAGTGCTACTAAAGTGCTACCTAGTGCAGGCACCGCCGGCAGAGGTGTGTGTCTGCGGTCCTGATGTCATCCGGGAGCTCAATTATTTCTGATTAATCCATTAGGATCTTCGGAAGGTTTGTCCCCAGAAACAACAATTTACAAGACTGTATTTCAACACATTCTCACACCGTTATAATTGACCTTCTCTCCATGTTATCCCAGCAGGACTGGACAGCCCACTGATGCTAACAGCTAACTAGCAGTACTTGCTCTCCTGCCGCCGACTTCAACGCAGATTTCTGGCTCACAAAGCGACATCATCAGGAAAATATTCTATTGTCCAACGGGACAATGGGACATCATTAGAGATGTTTGGGCTCAACTCCATGATCATGCAGTAATTTGTCGACTGCCATGACTTAATATAGCATGAAAAGGACAAAGATGTTTCAGTCGGAGGAGAAAATGTGAATCTGCGATGATCTACTGAGTGTACATCTAATATTCTACACTGGACAATATGAAATATGAGACGTTGCGTGACAACTCGTCACGCGATATCATTAAAAGACAAAAGGTCAGCGCGCCGCCAACGAGAACCAAACCACTACCATCAAAACGGTTGTATTGCCTCAGAAGCAAAGGTCATTTCTGCCAATAGGCTTGAATACATAGAAGCTTCCTTAGCTTATGGCGGGCCACGTTAATAATCCGTCTTATTTTGAACTACAGCATAATTCCACCCAAAAGGCTCCACTTAAGACACGCATGATACAACAAGAATAGATCTGATTTTGTTATCTTGGACAACATCTCCACCATAAGTGTGCCTTGGGTGAGATTCAAATCTTCTCTGTTTTGGAGAAGGGAGGGCGGAGATCTGATCTCAACAGAGTGCACTTTTCTCGTTAAGAACGGCACTTTTTTAGAGGCACTATCGGAAGCCTTGTTTTAACAATTTAATTTAAATTCAAAGGTCGCTCCATTCCGTCTTCTTTGGGCATATTCATTATATTGGCTCCCGACTGTTTTGGATGCATAAGTAACCAGTCTGCCAGAAGCATTTCACATGTGGGGAAACAAGCTCAGGAACACTTAAATTGGGTCCAATGGAAGTACAAAGCAAATCACTGCAGATACTGTAAAGTTTTTTTTTCTTTTTTGCCATCCTTTGCCGTCACAACTAATTTCACAGTGGCAGACTAATGAGGAAATCCTCCGCAAAGTATCTTTAAGCTGACAGTTGGATGTAACCTCAGATCTAGGTCACATCCTACGCCAAGTCCTTTGCTAAATTAATAGCTTATTTGACGCTGGTCACACACTCCCTGAACAATTAACTGAGACGTCTAATCCAAATTTGACTGTCCGAGGTGAGATGAGGGGAAGCGGAGGGGGGGGCGATGGGATATACTGCGCATTCTTCTGCTGCCCGACGCAAGAAAAACCGGGGATTTTTAGCGCGACAGCCGAGGTGTCGATCGAAGCGGCGGCAAAACAAGCCGAGCTGCGAGAAAAGATGGAAATAGAGATCAGAGCCGACTTTGACTTTGAGGCCGTAAAGACATCGGATGCTGCAGAGCGGCAGCGGCACGCCGGGGCGGGGAGCCGCCGCCACACCGGAGAGGGGTAAACAGATAGAGAGGGATGGGGATGGTGTGCAGGTGGGGGATGGTGCGGGAGGGGGGGGGTGTGGGGGGGCTTAGGGGCGGCGGCGGCACGGGCGGGGGAGGGGGGGGGGGTGCTTGAAGTGCGGCGAGATCTGCCAGAGCTTGTTTCAGAGCTCCTTGAAGCTGCTGTCAGCGGGAGAGCGTGTACTTATATGTCCCCCTGGGAGGGAGGGAGGGAGGGCGACTGGGGAGGAGAGAACCGCAAGCAGGCGGCGCGCGCACGAGTGTCGGCGTGCGATCACGCAGCTCTTCACGCAGTCCTGTAATTATCCCAAATTGCGCCTGTTGGGGCCCCGCCTCCGTCCCAGCGGAGCGCCACACAATCTGGGCTCCGGCCCAAATCTGTGGAGAGTTGTCCTGTTAGCAGTGATTGGGTAGAGGAGGAGCAGCGAGCAGCATTCAAAGGCCCCTGGGAAGAAATGAGATAAATGACAGAGTGCTAAATAAGTTAAAGAGCAGCAGCGGCGGCGACGAGTCGCGCGGCTTCGTCAACAGCAGCTGCTTTCACACTGCAGGGCGACGGCTTATTCATGTTTCATGCATCATAATAGCGTTTAAAAGGAACAACTTTCGGGTTGTTGAGTCCTTTTGAGTGGATCTTCCAACCAGTCAACTTGTAGAGAAAAGAATATCTTAAGCGGCACGACGATTGAAACGGCGCGCGATGGATTATTGCAGCGAAGGGATCATTTATCAGGGACTTGCTAATCATTCTATCAGCGGTGGGGGTTATTGTAAGGGAAAAACGTATTAACTACCTGCTCGCTTTCTAATGAGACCTGAACCGCATTTATAAATGTTAGTGAGTTAAGATGATGGATTTATCCATTTGTAATCACAAAGACTCATTCAAATGTGAGTGATATGAACCTGCCAACGGGACATAAGGCCCAGACGTTTGTTGTTCTTAATAATGTCTTACTGCTCAACGTGATAGTGAAGCAGCAATAATCAATATTCAGCAGCTCGTTTGTGAAGTTCACCTCTTCAGGCAACAACGTGTCGCTCTGGTTCGCTCTCTCCCGTTCATAAGGACGCTTTTAGCGGCGGCAGGCAGCGTTTATAAGCAAAGGACCTCTTTAAAAGCTCAACCCTGCCCTGACTAAGCTACTAGCTGGTGAATCAGGCTTACGCAGTGTAATAAGAGACACTAATCTGTTGGACATTAATCTGTGTCCCAGTGTCAATTGTTCAGTTATCTCAAAAATAATTCAAATGTTTGTGACGGCTCCAATACAATGGGATTAAAGGAGATTGACACACACGGCCCGTCATTAGACTGTGGGTCACAGCAGCAAGGAGCCATCTCTGTTGGTGAGAGTGAGTACCTGAAGAAGCTTTGATTCATGTATTCCTTTTCCTCTGTATATAAGATGGGCTTTAGATTTATAAATGAGGTATTTCTATAGCCTCTCAGTGGCCGACAATACGGCAACACCTGTTGCTAACAGCGACAATGGTGCAAACCCCAGATGTTTTCCCGTACGTTGTAAACCTAATGCAAAATAAATATGTGCTGAACGGATGAACACTTCAAGTGTGTTCATACAAATGTACATAATATATATAGAGAGTGTGCAGGATTAATATTGATAGTGACTGCCTGGTGATACAGTATGTACACGTATGGAATACATCACACTATGGAGGCGCTAGAGCAGTAACACAAAATGGATCATATTTTATTATATATATATATATCAGTTTTTCCTACTCTGACGTGTTTTGGTCATTACAGCTGACAGCTGCATGACACATATTCCAGCCCGGCTGATTATTTTTTCCCCTTTCTTCCCCTTCTTTTATTTTTTTTTAACAATCAGAATCGGGGATTAGGTGACAAAAGGTCGAGTGTGAACACGGTTGACCCGACTGTCAGCGGGGTAAAGAGTCACCCAGTGACTAGATAGGATTAAAGTTATTCGCACGCTGGTAAATGGCGGGGGTCCGGGGAGCGACGGACGCCGCGTTACATGAGAAACACCAGCTGTGGAGGAAAGCGGGCCGCGGCGCCAGCGGAGGCCCCCTTAAGGACATCGCTGTCACCGAGCGCCGTGCTCCCGCTGCTCGGGCAGGAAATACGACGCTCCGCATTCCAGCGTGTGGAGCTGAAGACTTTACACTCTGGAATAACGGGGCCAACCTGAAGTGCTCGCGACGGCGGGCGCGGCGGCCGAGTCCCCGAACGCTGCTTCGCCTCGTGATTAAGAATGCGTACGAGGCCCATTGATGGATGCAGTAGAAACGGGAGAGCTAAAGGTGGAAAGGGATTGTGCATCAATCTCTTCGCGTCCACGTACAGTAAACGCAGCCCTCCCGCCGAGGTGAGCTGACAGTGGAGGACCCTCTGCTGCAGATGATGTTTCATGCTCACAACCTGAACAGGTCCAGCTATCAATCAGTTGGATAGGACGTCCATCGGGACCAGAAGGCTTTAAACACCATGTTAAAGAGTAAGAAAAAACGTTTTTCTTTCATATTCCCACTCTCTGCCTTCTTGACACTGACTCTCATCTCAACACCAATTCTGACAACCTCAAACATGCGTAAGATCTCACATTCTGTCACTTCAGAATTTATTATTTCACCTCAACAGTACAAGATATGCTGTATAAGACGAAACGTCCTTCCTCCTTTACAATAAAGGAAACATTCTGTGAATAAACGGCTGCCTGCTACTCCCACCTGCAATATTGAAGTACAACATCTTAAAAATAGTGAGGGGCCGGCAGGCAAGAAAGCATTGGTCTTTCTTTCCAAATCTATCCTGACATCTCAAATCTCCACGCCGTCAGAGCCCCCACCACACACACACACACACACACACACACACACTCCACTCCAGGACACACTGCCGCCTGACCAGATGGGGATGGCTTCCCTTTATCTATCATCTCATGCAATATCAGATGATGATGTATGTATGATGATAACCCGCAAAGACTTCAGACAAGTTCCCCTCTTTCTAATCTGCTACCGATTGAAAGGCAACCAAATAAACACCACGATAAGATCATCTGCGACCAAGAGGAGAAGCTAACGGACACGTTGAAGGCTCTGAGAGTCCGAACACAGTGGCCCTTTGAGCTGAACACTGATCTCTGAGGCCGCTGAAGGAATTCAACCTGCCAAAGACGATGCTGGTTCACTTCTACACGGCCCATCCTCTGCACCTCCATCACCGTCTGGTACGCTGTCATCTGGTACGAACAAGTCCTGCAGGGACGGCATATTGCGGCCGATGACTGATGGACCTCAGCCTCCTGCCAGATGAGGCTGAGGTCCTTCCTGACTAAGACCTCGGCAGTGGGGCTCTGTTGATGAGCCCCCCACTGACTGACGCTGACATTCTACTGGTCACTTTCTTTCACACTGCATACGTCAATTTCACTTGTCACTTTCTGTTCGCTGGTCACTTTTTAACGTTTAGCTTTTATTCCTTTATTTTGAAACTAACCCAATTATATTACTAACCCATAACATTATATTACTAACCCATAACCTTATATTACTAACCCATAGCCTTATATTACTAACACATAACATTATATTACTAACCCATAGCCTTATATTACTAACCCATAACATTATATTACTAACCCATAGCCTTATATTACTAACCCATAACCTTATATTACTAACCCATAGCCTTATATTACTAACACATAACATTATATTACTAACCCATAGCCTTATATTACTAACCCATAACATTATATTACTAACCCATAGCCTTATATTACTAACCCATAGCCTTATATTACTAACCCATAGCCTTAAATTACTAACCCATAACATTATATCACTAACCCATAGCCTTATATTACTAACCCATAGCCTTATATTACTAACCCATAGCCTTATATTACTAACCCATAACATTATATTACTAACCCATAGCCTTATATTACTAACCCATAGCCTTATATTACTAACCCATAACATTATATTACTAACCCATAGCCTTATATTACTAACCCATAGCCTTATATTACTAACCCATAACATTATATTACTAACCCATAGCCTTATATTACTAACCCATAGCCTTATATTACTAACCCATAACATTATATTACTAACCCATAGCCTTGTCGTACTGTCTGATTTTATGCACCAACCGCCAAGTCAAATTCCTTGTATGTCTGACATATTATGGCAATAAATGTTTCCTGATTCCCGATCTGTCTGTGGGGTTCATCCTCTGGGGAGCGTGACCCTAGTGGCTATCAATCCAGTTGTTGGGAGCTGAAATGGGAGCCCCACTGTATCTTTTTGGAACACCTTCAAACTAAACATGAGTGTGACAACTGTGAAACCCCAAACTGTGCATGAAAATAAAAATACCATAATACCTGTGAAACAGTCATTGAACAAACATCAAGGTGGTGACTAAACCTCCATGGAAAAAAAAAAATACGCTTTTTCAAAAAAGGAAAATGTTTTAAAATATTTGGCACCCACAGAAAACCCGAGCAACAAGAGAGGACACAGACAATAGGGAGGCAGAGAGCGAGTGGATTCATGATGAGAAGGCCTGATTCATCAGACTGGAGCATACGTGCAGCTGAGCACGGAACAGACATGAAGCTGAGCCACTGCACGTCCACACGGTGCACCTGAATGGACCTTCATTACACATTTTCAGAAAAGTTTTGAGAGCGGGGTGAATGAAAAGGGAATGCACTTACTGCTTGACAGATGATGGGGTATTTGATTCGATTGATGCCACCGGCAAACACAGCAAAGGTCAGAGCCGTGTGGAAACAGAAGTTGAGAAGCATATGCCATCCCTTCCGACTGATGCGGATTGCGCTGCCAAAAGAGACCAAGAATCAAAAGAATTAGCAGGTAAATACCATAAGCCCCAGTGTTCATCATCTCACCGAGGTTCGTTCTTCAAGGTTTAGCTACTTCAAGTGGGATTTGAATCTGTCTTTTGCAAGGTCTGCATACATTTTCTTCCCTTTACTTTTACCTTGCCAGTGCCACATAGATTAAAAACCAGATTAAAAACCACAGGAGCCTGGGGAATGCGGCTTGTGCAAAGAAGCCATCACATATTCCGCTGCCGATACACGGGTTGAATAATGGAATACTTTGTGAAAACATTACAACCTTGGCTTGACTTTGAAAAGCAGTAATTTCAAGTTGGGTCAACAAAACTCAATTTGGTTTATTCTGGGCAGCATAAGAGGGACAGAGGGTTTTCTTCTGTAACTATAAAAGCTATAAAGCTTGATGGGGTACCTTGTCATTGATTACTTCACTCTTGATGACTCATCATATTACAGCATTGGCATTGTAGAACAAACAGAACTTAGGAACAGTGCAGAAGAAGACAGTTTTACAATTCGTTATTGGGCCAGAACCATATTGGTGTCTCTGACTTGCCGCAAAATGAAACAGTTTTGTTCATAATATTTTTCTTCATGCAAGAGCTCAAACAACACAAACATACTAGGAAGAACCATTTAATGACGGAGAAGCAGCGCATTTAAGTTCAATTTGATTTAACTTTAACTTGATTTTGTCCAAGAGGTCAAACCTTATGAGGATCCGGTGAGTCAAAAAAGGTTTACAATGAATAAAATGCATTTTTTAGATTGAAATCCTCAGTATATGTTTATACATACAGTGACATACAGTAAACATTACATACTAAGAACCTCGGGTACAGGGTTATTCTCAGTAAGAGCTCAGTGTGTTAGTCAGTGTACAATCTACCTACACAGCTCTTCCACCCACTAAGACACACACACACACACACAGACCATGCCGCGGTACACGCACACTAATAGGAATCACTCAGCTGGTTTGATGATGAAATAAAAAGAGATTGCTTCCAGTTGGCTGGGCCAATTGACGTTTTTACTATGCAAAACTATGCACCGATATCCACTCTGTGAGTTGTGGCACTAACCAGGGTGGGGACAGGAGGGGGGGGGGGGGGGGGGGGGGGGTATCAAACCTCCAGCAAAGACATTTAAACACGTTGCCCGTTTTCACCAACTGTTAGTAATGAGACGAACAGGTTCATCCATACAGCCGCAGTCTGTCACCATTTGAATTACATAACCTCGTGCTAGAAATCTCCGCTCCCCAAATGGAGGAGCCGAGCCCCCCGCTGCACGTGCCACAACTGTAGATGAGGCGGTGGCTCGGCTGGGAGCTCTGAGGCGTGTCTGGGGCCGGGGCTTTCGCTGCTCCGTGTTAGGGGAGGGAGAGCTGGAGCCTTTGCGGCTGGTCCGAGTACTGCATCCAGCACGGGGGGCATAAATCAGGCCGGGCTGCTGGGCTGCTTGGAAGGGGGTGTTCACGGGCTCTGGGCTTTCATTGGGTCAAGAACATTAGCCTGGCAACCCTCCACTTCTCCATCTCCCAGAAGGGTTAAAACAGTCCCCTCCCCCTACACCCCCCGCCGAGCCCACTGTAAGTTACCATAAAGCTGCGCACAGTATGATATGACAGTGTACAATGGGCACGCGTTCCAAACAGGCTGATTTGGGCTCATGGAACAGAGGCAGAAGGGCTGGAGAAACTATGATGGAGAAAAAGGAGCAGCGATGGGGCTACGTGGATGAAACCGGTGGCCAGTTAAATAAAAGCACAATTTAAACAGCCGCTTGAGACCTGCAACAAGCGGGTTGACATGATAATAACCGCATAACGTGTTGTAAACTGTTGGATTGTGACTTTACTGGTACTACTTCACTTTAAGACAACTCCATCAACTCAGGTACATGCTGACTTGCCAAATGTCAGTACAATCTTTTTTAGTACTGTTGCAGGTCTGTCCTGATGGAAATATCTTACTGAGGTGTTTGCTGGCGAGTCTCTGTCTGGGGTTTGGTGCTGAGCAGGTGGTGTACAGTGTGTTTCTCACAGGAAACCGCTGCCTGCTGCTGTGACTAACTTAATCAGACACTTAAAATAACAGTAATAATATATATCACGCTACCGCAGTTTTTAAAGTACGTTGCTCTCTGACCCCTTTTTGGGGGGCGGGCCTAAGACTGCTGCAGCGTCTCACACGAACCCCGAAAGAACGTTAGCAATTTTTCATTTCAAATCTCGTCCGGACGGAGTGCAAAAGTTATTTGTTAGCGGCACGGTTTTAAATACACACACGAGACAAGAACAAACGGCTGTGTAGAGGCGTTTCTACACCAACATAACAGTAGGGAAAACACTGATAAACGCACACAATCCACTGTGCATGAGCGTGAACCGCCCCCCTCGCATTCTGCCCCTTTAACACGCAGTGCTGTTGCTTACTGTCAGTCAGCTGGAGGGATGCTACAGAACCAAAGTGTTGCCAAACAGAGGCGCGTTAGAGGGCCGGGGGGGGGGGGGGTGGAGGACGAGGAGGTTTGAATTTCGTTATTGTGAGCGTCGCTGAGAGGGAACCCCTCAAGTGTGAGAGGCACCGTGAAAGCGCTGGCCTTGTGCCTCAAATAATGGCCTCTTCTCTCTCTCTTGAGTTTGGAACGGAAATAATGCAATTTTGTTCTGAGAAACGTTTTGTGATTGTTGGAAAAACTGCAATAATGTTCGACTTTTGTACGAAGGAGAGTCTGTGCTCTTTCACTTAGAGGCACGCGGTGTTCTAGGTCATCTGATAATCAAGATGTTTGTGCGTCGATGTTTATAATCTTGTGGTGCCAAAGATGATCGTCTGCAGCCGAGGTTGACTACCAGCGCCTGGTTCTGCCCAGAGCGCCCCCCCCCCCTGTTTTGGCATATTTATCTTTATCTTCCTAACTATATATTCTTGCTCCCGAGATGAAAACCTTTGAGTGGGCTTGGCGCATGACTTGCATGTGTGTCCACTCGGTCTCCTGTTTGCAAAACATCAAATATCTTGCTGTGATGATTTTACACTGGTGTCGAGTGACAACAGTGAGGAATGAGTGCGTTTACACGTGCACATGTATCGTATTTTGGAGCATATGTAAAAATATTATATTTCCGAAATGTCTGATCACAATGTGACTTGTAATTGTTTTGCACATGTATTTTGAGTAGATCTGTAATGTTTCTCATTTGTAAAATATTCCTCCAAGTCCATTCATGCCTCTCCAGTATTATGTGTCATCACATCTATAATGTGTATTGAAAGGTTTTTCTTTTTCAGCATTTGTGTTATTTCCTTTAAAAATACAGTGGTGCACTGCTACCATTTCTTTTTTTAAAGGCCACTAAAAGTCTTTTAGTATTCATCTTCACCTCATTCCTCTTCAAATGTCTTTAAACCCTTTAGATCATGATCGTATATTATGATTTATTTTGATAAGCCACAATTTCTGCACAGAACATATCCAGTGGTGCTGGGAAGCCGTTTACATCCTCACAATCTTCTTCCATTTTGAAATTGCTCCTGTTTGTGTTGCCTTTTTTTCTCCCCCAGTCGATACTGCAGTGCCAGACGACAGTAAGCGATGCCGCTGTTCGGAGCCCCAGATGCTGTCATCGCTGTCTGACTGCAGAAGGACGCACCCTGTCTCTGTCCCGGGGGTCGTAAACGGATGCAAACCGCGTTCACGCGGTCTCACGAGGTGTTAGCGCGGATTCACAAAACATCCGAAAAAGCAGATGCGTCTCTCAGGGTTACCTCTCTTTATCTGAGAATCTATATTTTTTTTGTTTTTGAAAATATGACATTTGAGACAATTGCAATGAATGCGGAGCTAATGCGACACCTTTGTATTAATGCCACGGGCGCGATAACGGTCGGTGATGGTCGACAAGAAAGTCAGATGACAAATTGTTGTGCTGAGACAATACGGCGGTCGGGCTCCCGCTGCTTTAACAACGGCAGGCGGTGCCGCGCAGCGCGTTCTCTGCCTCGGCCCCCATGTGGAACAGTTAAAGGTGGCCTGAATGCCCTTAGAGGTCCATTAACAGCATGCTAAGACTGTCTGAAAACACACGCACACATCTGCGCATGTGTTTCGGATCCGCTTAGTCAGACAGGCTGCGGTGCTTTTACAGCAGCCCTAAAGCATCTGACTCACACCCGGGAACTCAAAAATAAACCTTAAACCTTGGAGATGCACATGCGCACACAAAGTTAATGGCTGCCGCGTGAAGTTTGAAGAGGTTCTTACCTGTGGTGCACTATGTAGGTGATGATGGAGGCGAAGAGGCAGAGTAACATGACCGCCGTGCAGGCATACACCACCGGGTGCAGGAACTCCCCAGGGTACGGGGGGAAAGACAGCACCTTCTTCAGATCCTGAGGCAGGACAAAAGATATTGGGGGAGGGGGAGGTGTTATAAAATACACTCATAAGGATAAATAGGTGAGCAAGAACTTCGCCGGAGCAAAACGGGAGTGGGTGTCGGAGGGGGGGGGTTGAGCTCTGTCCAAATCAGCCTAAAACAGGGCAACAGCCCTGTTGAGTGGAAAAATAATTTCCCCTCCTGCATTTATATTTTGCGTTTCAGGCACTTAGACGACTCTTTTAGCATGATCTTCCTAGTCTGCTGAGAAGAAGAAAAAAATGGATTGCAGTCAAAAGACAAAGAAAAAAAGTTAAGACTCATTGTTAATGGAACCATATTAACATCAGAGTACATTTACTTCCTAATGTATTCTTCATGCAACAGGTTCAGCACGGGCTGTGACAGCCACAGACTTCCACTCTCAAAGTAGAGACACTGTTTTAGTGCTTTCCTTTAAAGCCGCACGTCTAAGCTTTAGCTGTGTTGTATTCAAATACAAAAACAAGCCGCTGTAAAATCAGCACTCTGTGTGTGTGGAGCCGGCAGTGATGTCACGACTTAGAACCCATCGCGTTGACGTCGCTAAATAAAGCACACCCTATCTGCATAACCCCGCCAGCTCGGTGCGAGTGTGTGTGTGTGTGTCTGCGAGAGCGATGCACAGACACACACGTGCACCCACACGCTGTCTGACTCCATCATTGTATCAGAGTTGCCAAGTGGGACGGTCTCTCTCTCTCCGTGTTCGTCTGAAGGCTGATGAGCCCGTCGGGGCCCCGTGAGGCGTCGTGACCTTCAGCTGAGCATTTATAAGCGCGGTTGTAAAGAAGTGACTCCAGATGAAATGAATAAAAAAACTTTGGGGAAAGAGGTGGGAGGATGTAAGACGAGATGACGAGAGAAGCAGAGTGTGTGTTACGTTCTTCTTCTCTGCGCATTTAACACTTGGAGATGGCAGCTCACTAGTATATGCTACAAATAGGTGGTATTTATATGTGTTGACTTACGCATTATGATGGACGTATATGACAACCAATCCCATGCTCAAAAATAGTTTACTAATCTTCTTTGGCCTAATACCATTTGTTACACAGATTTCACGCTACTATAATCACTCCTGAGAATGTACCAAAAATCCCTGCATTTAAACACTAAGACTTTTAGGAACATCAAAGAGGAACTCGTGCTGTGATTTGTTATGTCAAATTTAACACAGCTGGAGAATTATGCACAAGTCGATTTCTTTGCGATGTGACGACTGTTTTTGAAACTGCTCAGAATTCACTGACTAATTGACATTATACACCGCGGAAAGCAGAAAGCTTTACATCCTTTACACCGAGGGCTATAGCCTGCGGTTGTAAAGTTTAATGAGGCTGTGACTATCTTAGAGGTCACAAGATTTCATGGTGTGGTTGAGTTTAAATAAAACGTGTCACCACAATGAAACGGCTACTCTGGGGTCCAACATCATCACACATTAATGCAATTGGGCTCAATAGATCCACAAGAGCCTCAGCCTTCCAGCCCCGCTAAATTTATGCAATTTCAAGTTCCTGTTTAGGGACCCCAGTATGCAGAAATGTTCCAAATTTAGTTCCAAATTTAGAAAAGGCAAAAATAACACTTGTATCCTGCAAAATCACTGCCTTCTTTTCGACCTAAAATTGCATTGGATTTGCACAAAGTGAGAGTCTTTGTAAGGGAGAGAGCCAGCTATACGAAACATTTTGATTCTAATATCTTGAGGTGAGAGTGTAAAGGACTCCTGTGAATATGTCCAATTGCAGAAATAATAATAAGTCCTCTTTTTAGCATCTGGTTAAGCTACAGCCTCACATAGCCAGCAATGTTGGACGGCCGTAGATCCTGCAGGTCTCTGTTGGACGAGAATAAAAGTGTACAAGCAGTCACTGCTCTGATGTCGAGCGATGACTTTATTTTAAAATGCAAACTGCATAGAACGATCACGCCAGATGCACTTTCACACCTTTCCCATCCATCCATTCACCTATCCATCCATCCATCCATCCATCCGCCATTCATCCCCAATTACACTGTACAGGGTCATTGTGGACTCATGTCTTTCCACAGCTTACAACAGGCAGAGTCAGGCTGCAGCTTGGACGGGTCAGCAGTCTATCTAAGAGCTAACACATACATATTGAGAGACAGCCTTTAATCTCACATTCACGCCAACTGTAAGACTCAAACAATGAGCTTTTGGGAGCGGTGACACATGCTCTGCAGTCTGAGGAACTAATCAAACCGTGTTGATCTTCTTTTAAGTGACCTGCACATGACAGCAGCCAGACCAGCTTACAAGTTGTAAAACAATGACAGCTGGGGAAGGCGTGGATTTAGCGAGCTACATACCGCCGGAATCTAAAAACATGGCATTAACTATTCGAATGAGCGGCTCTGAAATCAAGGACTCATTGTTGCAAATATGAGTACGAGTCTCCAGCAATGAGACTGCCAGCGTTGTCATTGTAAAATGCAAATGAGTTGTCCTTGGATTTCGGGAAGAAACCATTTAACAAATGGCAGTAAAACAGTCAGTAGGGCACCAATAAGCCCTGAGGGGCTCCAGTTAAAGTTGCTCTTACCAGTGGGGTCAAAAAAACAACCTCGTAGACAAAGAGAAACATTGGCATTGATTTAGAGATGTACCTTTTTCAACCTGATGAATGTAAGATGAATTTGTCCCCGTAACACTCCTTGTTATTTAGCTCCTCCTTACCTGGTTAATGCTTTGCACCAGTGCGGTGTTGTTTAATGTTAAACAGGTAGCGTACACTGGGTTTTTTAGTGTGAGTTGGAAACAGCCACCTGTTTCCACCTGTTCAGGTTGTCAAGCTTAAGCTAAAATATGTGAAAACAGCGCTGACAGGAACTGCAGTCGCCAGATCCATTTAGTCATTTGATACATTGCTCATATAAAAACATATTGATTGGAGCAGTTTTATACTAACCATAATATCTCTGAAGAAGTTCTTTGAAAGGTGGGGGGAAGAAAAAAAAAAGATCGATCTATAAAAACATTGACATGAGTTTGCAGCTTGTAGCTCGGCCATAAAAGTCAAAAAGGACAAGAGGGAGCGATGGAGGAAGACTGTAATGGGAGCTCAGCAATAAAATCATCGTTTAGTAGCAGAGCCGCAGAGCCACACAGAGGGTAGAAACACTGTCAGAGGGAAGGAAAGGACAGTGAGGGAGGAGACCCTTTTGGGGGAGAAAGCATGCGGGGAAAAAACATTGTAAACAGCTTCACATAATTCGGTAGCTGTGGATTTACAGGGAATTATTACGTTTTTTATTTGTCCCGGGAGCCATGTCACGCAAGGACAATGAGAGCTGCTGTTAATTACAGCTCAATGAATTGATGTCGTAAAAAAAATGAAGAAGGAAAAAGCCTGAAGCGTCGTTAAGAAATCCTGCTGAAATGGAGCTTTTAAGTCAGTAAGCTGATTTATATACTTAAAGAGCAAATACAACTTTGTAGGGGTTTAGATTGTGAAGAATAGCTGCAACTCAACCGCAGGTCAACGGCAGATCGTTTCCAAGTGAATCAGTGACTGCATCCTTAAAACTAAATTGTGCTTGGACGTGTCACATGCGGAGTGACGGCGGCCATAGTTAAACGGCTTTAGGTTGTCATGGGACACAACATCATCATCATCATCATCATCACCACTGGGCTTACAACGTTGGCGGAGAATGTCAACCTCTCGCCTCCAGAGTCGTTTAACATTTCTCAGCCCAACAAATAAAGCTGACCAGCCTACAGCGGTGCTGAGCTGCTTTCCTGAAAATCCGTAAGACGTCATGCGTCTTAGAAGTGGTTACTCACAAAACCACGCGCAGTGCCGGGTCCCTGAAAAGTTCTAGATGGACTTTCAGTTTCCTAGAAATCAGTCCACTGTGCACGAAAAACGGACAGGCTGAAACCACTGCAAGTCTGAACCTTGAAAAAGAATAAAAAAAGAGATAATTTAGAAATAGAAATATATAAATACACAGAAACCTTGCCTTTGTTTTATTCATTCAACCAATAATGACCGAGATGCGACGCTTTAGAGACACGGTAGGCTTGTTGAGGGAACGTCCCTTTGTTACCTTATAATGTGTTAAAGCTCCATTCTGTTAAAATGAGCATTGGGTAAACGTAAAATCTGCATACAAATAGTAATAATGGATTGTTTGCTGACGTCCATGGGTCTTATTGTTCTGTTTGTTATTGTCAAATTGGGGGTAGAGAAATGTGAGGCAGTTGTTGATCACCAGGCGTCCCTACCTGGTTAAGACGAGTAAGGAATGACGGTATAAAACAGTCAATAAAATATATATTTATTTTGTTCCAGATTCTTCATTTGATTGTTTTCTAGTATTCTAGTCAAATGTTTGCGTATTGATCGGCCAAACCAAGCAGTTTGAATATGCGAATGAATAAAAAAACCTTCTGATTCCAGCTGCAAAGTGTCAAAGAACAACAAACACTAAAGACCAAAAAATGAACAGAAAAAAATCCCTAATGGATTAAAAACCACAAAAAACATACAGAATAATTCTATGAGAATCTCAGACAAACCAGTCGGCTTTCAGACGAGGCCCGAGGAGGACAGCTCAAGCCTAAAGCTTTGGGATAAAACTGGCCGGCTCAAAGTGAATGAGTAAAGCTTCCTCAACAACTACTTCAGAGGTACCCTTGTGCGAGGCGCTGAACAGCTGCTCACAGGCCAACAATAGAGGAACTTTCATTTTATGGGGGCAGCCAATGCTGCAGAGGAGTCTGAAAGCGAAGAAGGGCAAAGCTGGTATAGAGCGTGCGTGCTCAGCAAAAGCCTCTCCTGGACAAATAAAGGTCCCAAAAAAAGATCTTACAGCAGAGCAGCGCTGTGGGGAGAGAATAGGGAGAAAATGGAAGAAGGATGAGGGTACACTGACCCTTTTAGGACAAAGAAAAGAAACGGTGAGGCGGACGACATGCTGCCCAGAACAAAGTGTGCA